CCGCATTTCCGCGACAACTTTCGGAGGCACTTGACGAAACATCAAAACTTGCAATACCCTTTGCCCCCGTCGCTGTTCGGAAACATTGCAACTCACTTGACCCAGTCATATGAAACAACTTTGAGAAACTCCTCTATCCGCGATTTATGGCACCGGTGAAATAGGATCAGTCCCTGCTGGCAGGTTTCTTGTCAGATGTCTCCGAAATTGGCTTTAGTCGCGATATGACAAACTTTTCTACGAAATGTGTTGGGTCGGCCCATAGGAAATGGCGTTTTTTCACTAGAAATATCTTTTTGAAGTGCTGTTTTGTTGATAGCTGCTGTTTACGCCGCAGGTATGCGTTGCGTAAAAAGTTATGGACACAGAATGCTGAGTTGTGGGCAAAAGTCGTGCCCCAGGCGGGAGTCGAACCCGCACCTCACGCTTTCCGGGCGAGTGCGCTATCCGTTACGCCACCAGGGCCGCTTTTACCCTCTCAGCTTAACGGCTTTTATGCCGTAGCCTATCAGCACTCACACGTTTAACTTGGTGACTTGTTGCGGGTTTGACTCCCGCCTGGGGCACGACTTTTGTCCACAACTCAGCATTCTTGTGATAACTCGAAATATCGTGCTGAATATGACAAAACTCGTTATTGAGTTTTTACCGTTTTGAATTAGTTTCTCTTCATCCTAATATTTAGATGCTTAGTGGAAAGCTGGGTCGACGAAATTGAGCATTTTTTGACAGCCTCTTTTTGATTCTAATCAAAAGCTGAAACCGCAAAGGCCTCGTGGCTAGGTATACGGCCAAGAGGCTACATCTCTTCGGAATGCTTACAATATTGAAGTGATTCGAAGATTTCAATGTCGACCTCACAGACAAGCAGCTAATGCCTTATTCTGTCCAACTGAGAGCTTACGGAATTACCTCATTGACGGACATTCATGTCAAAGATTGAGGAATGGTTCGAGGTCATGGAATGCCTTATCACTATCAAGCATCACCCTTAATTGATGTTATACGTTCAAAAGGTAATGGCAGTCTCTCCCCAAGAGGACCATCACGCGATGCCCTTTTACAAGGTCTGAATTCCCACCACTTGATCACTTGACCAACTTTCAAGCGTGTCCATAAGAATTTCCACTTCAAATAGGCCGCGACACTCTCCATTCAATGTCTAGAAAAGAGAGAAGCAAAAAAAATTTAAAAAACAAAACAGACATGGTACGCCCAAAACACATTGAAGTGTATGAGGACTATCAGCGCCCCCAAGCTGTCGATATGTCGGTGATCCTGCCCAAAATCTGCACGGGGTCAGAGTACCGGGGCGGCCGCGCCGCCGGGGCCGTGGCAAAGTCGTAATTCCTTGCTACGTAACACCGTCCGCGCGGCGCGGTCTTGTGCAGTTCTCTTGGCTTTTTGCCAAGTCCTGTAACTGCGCTTGGAATACGAGTACAACGCAATTTCTTTATGCGGATAACATTTTAGGTGCTGCAAAATAAGAACTGAAGATGATGACGAGGGCTAGAACTCAAGAGCAACTGTGGTGCTTCTGCAATATCCCTCAGAGGCCACGCATTCCCACAAAACATGAACTAGCTAAAAGCGGCCCAAGCGTCCCACTCGTTAGTTTGAAGTATTTCTATAGCTTCAGAGCCGGATTTGAGCCAGATCGCCGAAATGCACACGTGATTTTAATTTAGTGCGCTCTTCCTTAGTTTTTTCAATTTTGTTTTATTTACATCTACATTCGTTGTTCTTCATTTCTAGCCTTTGTCATCTTCATCACCTTCTATTCGGACTTTGAAGCATGAGCAATACCTCGAATGTTCGGAAATTGCGTTTTGCTTGTATTGTCATGTTTTATTGTCATGTTGTCCGTTTTTATTGTCATGTGGGAATGCGCGGCCTCCGAGGGATATTGCAGAAGCACCACAATTGCTCTTGGGTTCTAGCCCTCGTCATCATCTTCAGTTCTTATTTTGCATCACCTAATTATCCGCATAAAGAAATTGCGTTGTACTTGTATTCCAAAGCGCAATTACAAGACCTGGCAAAAAGCCAAGTGAGCTGCACACGACCGCGCCGCGCGAACGGTGTTAGGTAAAAACGTATTTGCAGAAACAATGGCAGCTAGCTAAGGGAAATTACTCACTTTTCCCACGGCCCCGTACTCTGACCCCGTGCAGTTTTAGGCGGGGGACCACGACACATCGACAGCTGGGGGGCTGACAGTCTCATACACCCTCAATGTGTTGAGCGTAGCCATGCTGCTCTTTGAGAAGGCAGGTATACTAGTCTTATCGAATAGATATTTATCCATCGACATAGTCATCGAATCACAGCAGAACTGATTCCCGCTTCCCATGTAAAAAAATTGTGTAAGAGAGAAAACGTCGTTACTTATGGGCCAACCCAATATTTACCATGATTCATAATTTAATCACCGCCCAGTTGATGCATACTGTAGTTCAGCAGATCCGTTTGAAAGAAGCACTACCATCAGTAATCTCACCCCATTCATCTTTGTCACTCGATCCAAAAGTTGACTTAACCCCACTTTCTTGCAAAGGAACTTTTTCGATATAGCTCCCAACTCCATGCAGGGTGCGCACCAAACAACACAAAAATGTCACCTCTGAGTTGAGCGGACAGGAAGCTGCAGAAGACCCGGGTGTAAAGAAGGCTTCAAAGTATTAAAACAATTGATTAGTAGTATCCATAGATAGCATGAACTCGTAAGCACGTAGTAGATAAGACTAAATAATTCATCTTAACAGATTCGTGCGCATCAACCTTTCCAAACCTTAACAAACATCTGCTTGCATGGACAAAAATCACCCAAATCACCGGAGATCACACCTTTCCACCACGGAACGTAATGCACGGCGAACACTTCGACCAGATCTATCGATCAAGTTCTGTTTCTGTTTATTCCAAGAGAATATGCATTTTGAAGGCTGTGTTCGCGAATGAGTACCTCACGGTGGCACAGATTTTGAGGGTCTCAGAATGTCTGTCAGCCGCGGAGTGATCCTCCTACTTCCTTTCTCCTTCCACCTTCCTTCTTTTCTTTCCTTCCACTCTCATCCTTCTTCCTTATTTTCCTTCCTGTAAGAGCTCAAACAAAGGATTGCTGAAAAAACACCTGTAGACCGCCAACGCGAGAGAGCATCCGGTTGACAGATGTCTTGTAACCGATCTTGGGTGGTTCAGGATGTCGCCCTAAGGGTGACCCATCTTAAATACCATCTGCACTTCAGGAAGGGAAGCTGAAGAGCTTGTTTCAAGAGAAAATATTGGGCGCTGTGATGATTTTGCAACACCGCCTCCCCACAACCTTGTGAGGGCTGGGCAAAACTCAGCCACACCCCAGGAATGCTGTTCCAGCTGATGAAATCTCTAACTAGGGAGGTCGTTCGGGACGTGGTACGTGCATGGAGTACCAAACTGGTGTTCATTTTTCCTGAACGCCTCTGGGAATGCCAAAAATGGAGTGAAAAAGAAGTCCATGGAAACCGACTGTTTTTGAGCCTGAATGGGCTCTAAATCACTCGCAACTTCGGCCAGTTGCTGCCTATAGGGTCCTTATAAAGGTTGTACTGGTATCGATGAGAAAAGTAGTCGCCAATGGGGTCTTACTTGTGGCACGTAGTTAAGAGTCGACGGCTAGTTGGGCTCTTAAGCAATCGAAGTGGTGCTGTGCCAACGATCGGATGGCCTAGTGGATAGCGTGGAGGATTCTCAAGCGGACAGTGGGGATGGGGATGATGGTTCGACTCCCCTCGGCTTGCACGTTTTTGCATTTTTTATTTTCCGTTGTTGTCGCTTCCATATACGTCTGTTAATGAATTTTACTCGGATATCTGCCATTTATAGGCACATCCTAAATAGTTATACCCCGTAGTCGGTGCTATTCAGCAATTTCGATTTCACATACCATTAAGCAAGAACTTGTCTGAAAGTTGAGCTTTATATGTTATTCGGTGCCCTGATCACGACTATGGCATTTACTTTCAGCTCTAGTGCCATTTATCTCCAATTTGGAGCCAAAGTAAAAAAATTTTTGGCTGATTTGCCTATAGGGGTAATCGATGGTCCTGATCACGATTATGACACTTAT